ATTTCGCGATTCGCGATTTGCGCTCCCCAGATCAACCCCGCTGACGGGTGATTGCTGTGGCAAAAAAGATCGATAGAAATAGCTGAGAGACGTGCGAAACAAAGGACCCGCATGGTGTGGTGGTGAACGCGTTACTCCCCGGAAAGGATAATAGCGCGTTCGTTCCCCACCATAGACACCTGCGGTCCAGAGTTTTGCAAATATCTCAGCAACATTGTGGTTGTATTTCGCTTAGTAACCTGCCATGAAAATTATAGAAGGCAGAAAACAAAACGTTAAAACTCTTGGTATAATTACACTAAATGAGAAATGCAAATTTTAACAAGTCTGGATCCATGCATATTGATTTCAATGTCTAAAACAAAGGTAATTCGGATTGTTAAATTAGAAAGACAACAACACCTCATGGTGAGTTTGCTTCAGTAATTGAAATAAAAGCCACAAGGATCTACAGATCTTCGTTCATTTTTTCTGAAAATTTGGATGGGGCAAAGTATTCTCTACAATCTCTACAATTTTTCCAAGTTACAAGAATTATCAAAAAAAAACTGAAAAAGCCATGAACATTCTTAGCAAAACAATATAAAAAAGCCATGTTGGCACCAACTCAAGATTACTTTTACTGAATAACTTCTACCTATCAATAATAAACAGAATAGTAAAGATTTCATCGGAGGAAAAAAATCTTATGCACTTGATCAAATAAGGGAAGGTGCTACGTGACACTTAGCACAACTTGAAAAAAAGGAAAAAGAAATGGGTCATAAATGTTGACCTAAAACGACAGCAATGTTTTAAAACCACTACCTTTACAAAAACCATTGCTTTCAGAAGCCCAGACAGAGAGAGGATTACTAGCGAAATGACGTAGAATGTAGAGTAGTAGTGCGTATCGGGATCGTCTGCAAGACTTCCTTCAAAACGTAACACAACGCTGTCGTTACTCTCCACCAGCTAAAGAAAATCGATGAGCAAATATTATTGCAAAGACAGGGTAGCAATAAACAGACTACACTCCAATAATGTGAACAAAGTCGTTTCCAAATCCTTTTTTTTTTCTTTTTTCAAACAAATGATATATTTCGTTCTCTTTGATCCATGCCCTCTTGAACCTTTTCTTGTAGGAAAGGTAAAAACACGGGAAGTGAATAAGTCACCTGACACAAAAAACATCTTGCAACAAGTAGTGATTGAATCCAGAGGAGTTGAAAATGAATTCAAGCGGTATGATCCCCTAATAAATTTTGCGTCAAAGATTCGAAGCAAAGGATACTTTATTTTGCAAAAGAAACTTTGAGCACAGTTGAGAACATATTAATATTCAAAAGCAAAATATAGAGATATAATTTAATGAAGACAACGAAGTCACTCTTCACCTTTTCTCTGTGACCACTTTTAAGCCAATGTGACAACCAGAACGTAGAAAAGATCGAAGCGGATACATTAAGAACAAAAGCGGCAATAAGCAAAATCCAAACTAGCCAACTTCCAGCTGCTCGAATGTAAGCTCTAAAATTATCAAAACAATTTTATGCTATGAAAAGATTGACTTGTTGAACAACGCGTAAAATGGCAGTGGAAACTTCAAATTCGTGTACCTGTAAATGGAGAATGACATTGAAGCTAACCCAAAATCCTCTTCAGCGACAACGAGCTTACCTAAAAAAAATACCGTATAAAGCCTATATGATTGTAAAATGATGAAAAATGATACGGCAATAATAACCTTGGAATTCATCTTCCGATATGAGCTTCGCACTAGCATCCCGAACATCGACGTCATCCACATAAAATAGGAAAAATAAAGTTAAAAAAGGTATAAGCACTAACACTTATTATCTTCTTCAGCTATAATTTACCATTTTTCTTTTACCTGGAGGAGAATTGTTCTAAAGTGTGGACGTGCGACGAATCAATATAAGAAACTTGACATTTTCATCTATAAATCAGGGCAGGAAAAAATCTCGTATTTCAGGAATTAAAGTAATCTTAGAAAAAAACTCGTCCCGAAGAGACAACTCCTTCTTCGACAAGCAATGACCAGCTTGTGGAGACAACGCCCTGAGCAATTCTGAACTCCGAAAAAATTTCATACAGGACATTGCAAGTTAACCGCTTTCATCTAGATCAGGTGGTGAAACAATCAGTGAACTTTATTAAACTCCGATTTAATGCACATTGACATGGGACCCCAAAACATGTTCAGGTAATGGAGAATAAAGTTCATACGGTTGAGAGAAAACGTACAAGGCAAATCCTCTATAACAAGAACATCGTTGAAGAAGTCTTTTCCCAACATGACTAATGTACAAAAGAATATTCGGTCAAAGAATTTCGATAAGTAACTGACTACAAAGTTTTGCCAAGTTAAGACGATTTAAGATTGTTCAACTTAGTTCAGCTTTGTCAACTACAGTTTTTCCTTACACCGAAAACGACTGGACAGCGTTTCTAACACTATCAAGAAATAAGCTATCGTGAAAAAAGAACTTGGTCTTTGATTCAATAATGAAAATATACGTTGACATAGCTAGCTATAGACCTTGACAACACCATGATCAGTTAGATTCGTCTTGGAAGCATTGAGTTACATAAAAATCTCACTACCCAAATTAAAGCATGCCTTCAAGGATACCAGCAGGGATATCATGCACAGCCACTAGGCCAAAAGATCGACGGGACTACTGTAGCCTCTACCTAATCTATCCCTTAATGTGTTACCTAGATTACAGTTTTCAGGTGAAACCAAATTATTCAGCAGCCTGTATTCTAAAATCGGGTCAGCTGTATGAACCACATCAAGTCAGAGGTCGTAGAAATACGCCAGGAGAATTATCTGCTCTCTGTTGGGAACCTTGTCAAGTTCGCCAATTTGGGTGACAGGGGCGAAACGCTAGCGTGTGGGTTTGCTCCGTAAGCTTGAGAGCGAGGTAGTTTCTAATTAAAGCAGTTCATCGCAGCTACTCCTTTGTAACGAAAAGTGATATACGCGTTAATGAAAAATTTGAAGGCAAGCTTTCCAGAAGGCGACATCGTCACCTTAACAAATAAAATGAAGACGAGATTATGCAGAAAGGGCTCAAAGCAGTGAGTAAGTTTGAGATGCGTTCAAAGCGGACGTTTTAGTCCATTTGTGCTCTTCTTCGTCTCTCTTTGTGCGTAAGAAAACGAATCGATATGGATAACCTAATTAAAGTGATAAAATGTAACAATATAGGACGGCTTTCGACCTCGCAAAGAAACCATTGACTAAAAATTTCAAACCTCCACCGACGCTATGTGAAAACGTGATCACCATTATAGACGAATATAACGGAACATAGTGGAAGCTAATGGAATTGCGCAAAACTTCTGCACAAGATAAGCACGAATATCCAGATAAGTGTAGTTTATACGTAAGAAATACTAACCGTCTCATATTCTTCGTCCAATGGAGACGGAACCCGACCTTCTAGGTTTGAACTATTGAGGATATTTTGATGGGTGGTTACTTCTGGAAGCGAAGAGAATTAGAGCATTAAATAAGGTCACGCACAAAAGCTTACCACCTCTTACTAGTGCACTTTCGCAATATTCTTTATATTGAGTACAAGTGGAGAGCAGTTCTTCATGTTCTCCATAGGCAACAATCCTACCACCGTCCATAAGTACAACTCGATCGCATTGTGATAACCTCTAAAGGATATACAATTGAACTCGAAATGGAGTCCGCGACAAGCCAATAGAATTTTTTTGAAATAACACAATCCATAAACCTGAGGGTCCGTTGTAACCATTACGACAGTTTTTGCTGACAATACTTCGCGTACGGCCTTCTCGAAAATTTTATCCCCTACCTTAAAAAACTGGTAATTCCGAAGTTCTGAGTAACAAACCACTTAATTTAACCTTTTTATCGAGATTAGCAAGGATGTCATCAAGGAGATAAATATCTCTATGAGCAAATATGGCACGTGCTAAGGAAACACGTGCCTTCTGACCTCCAGAAAGGGTAGCACCTCGTTCCCCAATCTGAAATAAACATTTTCAGAGTGTCTACAAAACGGCAGATTAAAGAAAACCACTAAAAACAAGATCTATTATTAACCTCCGTATGATCTCCAGCAGCTAGTGCTTCCAGATCTTTCGTTAGTTGGCAACTATTGACAGCCTAAAATGACATTATTTAATGCCCTCATCATTCAAAAATGATTAAAAAAATATCGACCCTGTAGTATCGTTGAGAATTCATTGGTGATCCAAAAAGGATGTTCTCTTGAACAGTGGTATTCTGTATCCATGGCACTTGAGGAACATAAGCGAATGTGCCACCGACCTCTAGATTTCCTTTAGAAGGAAACATCTGAAACCACGATGATCGGAATCAATCGATGATATGTTGAAGAGTACGACGCAGTTGCCTTCAAAAATTTGGAAGAAGACAATCAAGTAGACAGTATATGAGATAATGCTGAGATATTTGCAAAACTCCGGACCGCAGGTGTATGCGGTGGGGAACGAACGCGCTATTGTCCTTACCGGGGAGTAGCGCACTTCACCACCACACCAACCGGGTCCTTCGTTTCGCCTGTCTCTCAGCTAGTTCTATCGATCCTTTGCCATCAGCAATCACCCGTAAACGGGATTGATCTGGGGCGCCCAAAAGATCGATAAAACTAGCTGAGAGACAGGAGAAACGAAGGACCCGCATGGTGTGGTGGTGAACGCGCTACTCCCCGGAGAGCACAATAGCGCGTTCATTCCCCACCGCAAGCACCTGCGGTCCGGAGTTTTGCAAATATCTCAGCATTATATACGGGTTATATTTCGCAACATACCCTGCCATTAAAAAGAAAAAGGCAGTAAATAAAAGGGTCAAGTAGACAGTGTTGATTCTATGACCTTGATAAGTAATGGGGTGGCATCCTCTTTTAATTCTAGGAAAAACTAAGACATCAGTTTAAATATTACTTATTAACACATTTCAAATTTCCTACGACCTGTAATTTACGGTACTCAAGTTGTAATCAATAGTATTATACTAGAAGACTTAAATGCTCTTGATGCGCCTTAAAAACTCTGCGTTTCAACAGTAGAAAGGAAATACGAAAAGAAACCCAGGTTTCACTATCAAAACACGTATTCAATTAATCAAAAAAGGCGCGCGTGTAGCGCAGGGGTCGTAGGCGTCTTGCAATACACATGGGATCAATTCCGGCCCCCTAGGCTCGCCAGGCTATCCATCCTACCGTAGTTGGCAAATTGGTACATGTCTGGGAGGATCTCAGTACTGGCCCGATAGTCGGTAGGCCACAGCGAGTCGCTGTATACGCCAGATATGCCTTTAGTCACCTCCAATGGTGTTTAATGAAGTCGAATACATGGCGCATCCCTCAGGTATTGAGCAACGCAGAGAGCTTCATCCATTTTTTGTCAAAAAAACTCCATGTACAGTTGCCCTGATTTCAACTAAATATGCACTAAATTCGAAGTGGAATATATGTATACGCTGCCGAAAGCAGGGAAACTAGTTAAAGTAATCAAGATTTAAGCGCCATCGTTTCAGAACTAATACCGCAAAAAACACTCACATGGCCAATGATACTGTTCAGCAGAGCGCTCTTTCCGCTCCCAACAGCTCCACATATCCCTGTCAACTCCTTCCTGCGAATAACTAGTGTAATGTTGTCCAAACAAAACGATGATTGTCCTGTGTTTACAGGTGTTTCTTCTGTAGGAGCAGAATTAGATTCCACTGAAAGAATTTTTGCTTATGACGAAGATTTTTATTGAGTACTAAATCTACCAGGAAGTGGAGACCAAGTGAACGTTGCTTGGTTGAATCGAATAGCGATGTTTTGATCATGTAAATGGGGTTGAATAGGCTCCCATTGTTCGTACTGAAATTAAGGCTTCATATATTTGCATATATTGAACTTTAGCCAGAAATAAAGACGTTTGTACTATAAAACTTATTTCAGAAATGACAGCAAACTAGAGAAAAATGTGAGAAAATTGAAAAGCTTAGAAACTCCCAGTGCTTTGACATAATAGTAAACGTTAAGATACAACTCACATAATGAAAAACGTAAACCAATTTCTTATGAAGTGGAGTTCTTCAAAATTTTTGCATAACAGCACTATATCAGGAAATAGTATTAGGTATTAAATTACCATTTCACCACACTGCGGGATCCAAGAAGAACAATTAACCGCTATTTAATTTTAACCACTATGAACACTGTATGGAATGTAAGGATATAAAAATACTGAAAAAGACTCAACATAAAGTGGAAAACACTTCCAAATACTCATTGTAATTACAATAATGCTGAGATATTCGCAAAACTTGGGCCGCAAGCCAGATCGAACCATTAGCACCCTTTCAGATAACACAGAAAAGCCAATCGTCGTTCGATTTAGTCTGAAGTACAAATTCTCCGAATATCTCAGCATCACTGCGGTTGGCATAATGGCGAACAGAAAACTCCACTTTCATAAGTTCTTCTCGTTGTCAGCAGAACAACTCATGAACTGAGTAAAGAATTACTCTAACTCGAATATCTCTGGCTACACAAAAGGAATCTTGTTATATAGTGTTCACTACAGAAAACCATTCATATGGCTTACAATGTTGGCAATTTCAGCATTCCCCAATACTAATGATATCACTGAAACAGCGTAACCACACCTTATTACCTTTCAAACTGAAAAGACCTTTGAGTTGTTTTAAATTTAATCCTGAATTTCTAAGCACACGTCGTCAACATATTTGTTCGGACCAGTAAACACAAATACCGACCAACGAAAGAAAATGTGACCTAGTCGAAATCTAATTTTTCTTTCATCTTGAGCACAATTAAATACTCACCACTTAGATACTTATCAACGATCAAAATTTCTAATATGATCAGATTATGATCAGTACTGACTCAGTAATGTAACAACTGTCCTTCACAACCATGTAGATGAGTCAAAAGCACACAGCACTCCACAGTTTGCAATGTCATTAATGAGTTCCCTACCAGCATAACTTCCTGAATACGTCGTATTGCTACAAATGCCTCAGCGAGATATCGACTGCCGTAGGGAATCATTCGTATGCCAAACAACATAACGAAAAATACAGTGATTGCCGAGAAAGCCTATAAAAAGCATCTAATGAATATTATGACTAAAGTTAGTTTTAAATAAAGCCTCACTAACATCACTTGCAAGCAGATCATGGCCTGAAAGCACGACGCCGAGAAACGTGAGTATAGCAGCTACTATAGGTACAACAGGACCACAGGCAATCGCTAAGGACTGTGCGTAGCCAGCCTTTCTGATTTCAGTCTTTTCAGCATGTCGTATTCCTAAGAAAATGAACCACAATATTTAATCTCTAGAGTAATCTAAGTGGAAAAAAAAGTAAAGCAACGTACGTTCGATCTTCTTTGAGAAGTTCTCCTCCAAACAATTAATTTTAACAATGCGAATACTTCGAATAATCTCCCCCATAAGACCGATTCTCTTCTCCGTTTTTTCGATCGCATTATTTCGACAGCGCACCATAGTCTTCCCAAGTCCATACTTCAAATCGACACTTCAAATTATGTCCTTAGAGACTACTAATCACGTATTCTCTTACCTGAATGACATCAAAAATAAAGAAAACCAGGATCCCTAGCAAAGACCAGCGACCAATAACAGCTAGCAAATATCCAATACCACCTGCGGTTAAATGTGATGTAAAGATAGATTCACTGTCACAATTGTATTAGCGTCGAAAACTTTCCCCTTACCGATCAGAACAAAAGGTCCAACGATCACAAGAGGTGCAAACGTCACAGCATCAAATAGTCGCTGACCATCATTTGCAAACATGTTAACAATCTAAAGTGACAGAAGCGATAATTCTAAAAGATGAACGACGAAAGGAATTGACCACACCTCAGCCGCGTTCTTCTTGCCAATACTTCGAGCTCCTAGCAATCGCTTAAAGAGAAGGCCGAGTAGTGCTCCTCGGACACGAATTCCGGTGCGGTAAGAGATGGCCCACGTTGCACCGTACGAAAGTACACGAGCTACTTCAACCTCAAACGGATTGTGATAAAGAATGCTAGAAAAACAGTCCTCACACGTCACCTACACTTAACAAAATCACTATCAGCATGAAAAACATGCTTCCGCAGTACTAAAAGAATTGTTGATTAATTCTTCAAAAAGAGATTTAGGAAATATAAACACGTCACGCTTCACAAAAAAAAACATCTAGATTGACATGCACACGATTCTACTAAAGTTCGACTCTGACGATTTAAGACAAGTTTATGAAGGCAACAATTTAACCAAACTCTTAACCAGACAGAGTAATATATATACATATACGTATATATATACGTATGTATATACAAATAGGAACAAGGTTATATATATATATATATATACAATTATAGTTATTGGGTGGATGTATATACATATAAGGTTACAATTACGCCATAACCAAACACTTGTCATAAAACATCTAAAAAGTGAATTTTTGCAACTGCTATAAATTGAGGGCTGCATACCACTTCAAACCTGACGCTTGAAATGAAAAATAATACGAAGAAATGTAAGTATTACCCCTTCTTAACCGTAATGAGAAACTTTAATTCGTTGACGTTCCAATGGGATGGTTATAGAAAAGAGAACTTCTTCCGATCGAAGTATCCAAAATTCTCGACTGTTTGCGAATTTCGCATAATTCCGTTGACTAGTTACGATCACAATAACCACTGACTGACTGCTACATGCATGCCACTGTTTCTCCAAATAATTTACCATTGATTGCTCTACTCATAATTAGTCAACGTTACTGAATCATGGGCGCGTGTAGTGCAGTTGTCGAGGAGCCCTGCGACACACATTTGGGATTGATCCCCATGCCCGTGGGTTACAAAGCCTTCCATTCCTCTTGGGTTAACAAATTGGTACCAGACTTGTCTTGGAGGGTAGCAGCACTGGCTCGATATATTGGTAGGCCATCGCTAGTTATTGTAAAGATCAGATATGCACTCAATCACCTCCGACGATGCTTAGTGAAGTTGACTGCATGGTGCATCCCTCAGGAACTGATCAACGACGAGAGTTTAATCACTTTTAATCCTTTCACTGAATCATCAAAACTAAGTAGGTACTTTTGTATGTGTATTTCTGCTGCAGCAGACCATCACGTGTTTAGCAGAATTGAAAGGAATCTTAGTACTGTACAAAAACGACGAAAACGCCGGAATAAAACTAAACATTCGTTGTAACGTAATCCAACATCGAATGGTTACGCACAACCAGAAATACCTATGATACTAGATGCAACATGGCCTTTCAAAAAAAAAAGAACGCTGTAAACAAACGGCGTGCAGGGAGTCAAACGTTAAACAGTGGTCCGTAGAGGCTACAAACCACGTAGACCAAATAAGAAATCGCAACTAGTTATTAATAGTGATGTACGAAAAGGCTTAAACAGTAAGCAAAAAAAATTATGATTAGTAAACATACCGAATTTAGTCAGGTGATAAAAGTAGCAGTATATAAAACGATATAATGATAATGATATATTTACCAAACAAATGGCGAATACTAGAAAAAAGCCGAGTCGATAGTTCACCGATTCTCCGGGTAGAGGTGGCTGCTCTGCGAACTGTACAAGACCTGAATTCATCCATATAGAATTCTGAACGGTGGTAATATCCTGTTCTACGGAGTACTTTAGTGTGCGAAGCGAAGAAACTTCAAATAACCTCGTATTAAGCATGTTGGACCGATGAAACCGAAAATTAAGCAAAACAAAAACACGGCACACGCTGCCCATAGTCGTGTCTTGATAAATCGAAATAATGCACGAAAAAGCGATGGCGACTGAGGATTCTGCTTCGTCTCACTTTCCCAAAGAACCTCCATCCTAAACAGAACATTATTTAAATATCACCAAACACAAAGATGTCACTCGTCATGTTTTCGATTACATATTGACGACTGTAACGACTGTAACATGTAAAAACGTAATGCTGTTCTAGCCATGAGGTTCTCCAATGCTAGAATGTCGTATATACCTCGCCACATTCCATCGCAACACATTCTCCTTAATCATATCCAAAAACAATGTAAAACTCATGGTTACGAAGCGCTGCTTAGATCACAGAACACTGGCACTGTGGCTTCCTACTTTTTAACTAAAAGTGGAGGAAAAACTAAAGCAGGGAAACATCTTTTGTGAATTGAGAAAAAAAAACTTCATAATGTAGTAATCACTAAACAGAACAAGCCTGATTTCTAGGTAATATCCGTAAGAATAAAATAAATCCAATTCTTAAGAGCACCGTTAGAGTGAAAACCTGGATAAGAGGAACGCAAAGCAAGGACCTCTGTTCATGTAGTGGATAACGCGTGAGCCTCCGGACAGGATAATCGCGGGTTCAAAGAACACCTGAGGTCCCGAGTTTTGCTTGTATCTCAGCATCATTGTGGTTGTATTTCAAATAATATCTTCTCATCAAAAAAAAGAACAGGTAGTTATCTAATCATTTTCGGCCACTGTATGTTACCATGAAGCGCCACTGGTAATCATGATTTGAGCATCGATAAATCTCGGAGTAGACTACTTATGGGTGCCTCAAGCTAGACGCCCATTACTGTTTCGGAAGTAGTCAACGTACTTGCGTTACAGTGAAATTTGAGGCTTTTGTTGTTTAGTGCCATTACAGCAGCATAATAACATTCCGTGCGAACGCAATGTTGACACCAGTAATTTCCGTTTTGTTGATAATTAAAAAAATGAAATTCATCCATGACTTTAGTTACGGACATTAACCTGCTCTCCACGCTAGAAATGGTTGCAGTCACGGAAATAAACCTTTAACAAACAGCACGCATAAACTCATTACTTGTAAACGGATGCCTTCCGAAAACGAAAAAGAAAAATATCCCAGACGTGGATTTCGTTATAAAAACTACAGCCTACACTCACCTAGCGATATTGACATTACTGGCATCGTATATACTGCAATTCCAAACTTGATCTTTGTCCAATTTGCCTTTGAACGCCGAATATAAGTACTCAAATACCCAGCTGTACGTAATGAACGAGAAAAGGCCCGATTCATCGATCTTAGCGCCACCCTTCACATCACTTCTGAATAAAATAAAACTCGACTGAATGATGGACTGACTAGTTTTGTTGCATATCGTGTACTTATAGAATAGAAATTTTGTGCGATTTCCAACAACAACAACAAACAGACTAACAATCAACTCTGATGAAATACAAGTGCACATACCTCTTCGTCGTACGCACAGGTATCATACTTCTGAGCGAGGTCACGTAACGTGTCATTGTCTTCTTTGCGTTCCCATGAGCATACCTCTCTGCTGGATCCGTGGCCATTCTTAATATGATTCAGATGACTTTCATACTTTACGAAACACCAACGGAAATATTTATGTAAACTGAGCTTGCTGAACAAAATTTTATCTCTGGGAAATAGAACTTATGTAAGGGTTATATCAAATGATTGGGATTAAAGAAGAAAATGAGAAGTAAAGCATCCGAAAAGATGTCCACTAAATTACATTTGACAAATTTCAAAAAAGAAAAAAGAGCAAGTGCCCGAACATTTTATGACAGTATTACATCTTTAGTCACTGTGTAATAAGTTGTTGATGAAATGAAATGATTACCATAACCAAAAAAGATGAAGGGAATCAGTACACGCAAACAAATTATTTGCAAACTGGATGTAAAGAAAGCTACCATCCGTTCCAGGCTAATAAACGTCAAAACAGAGTGATCAAGCAAATTTGAATAGCTTTCGAAAGAAGAGTAGTAAATGCAAAGCATCCGGCGACTATCTCTCTCTGATCACATGGCTATGTCATTCATCGTCTTCTAATAATTCTAGGAAACAATTTAGACGTATAATTAGATATTCGTAGTTTCTAATATACCCATATTATAAAATAAAGACGAAAAAAAAAGTGAAACACTAAACGATGCTTATAAGTACAACGCGTGTCGGTCAACCTCCACTCGAACAGCGCCGTCAGCTGGATTTCGGCGTTCGTCGAAATAATCGAAAACAAGTGCCGGCGAGGCGAAGGAACGAGCGTCGCACGAAATACCTCCCTCGATGCCACTTCTCTGAATGACGGCTTAAATCCAGTCAACGAGAGGCAGCAGACTCGCGCGCCGGTGGTCGACTGCTGCGACCGCCCAGCAGCTTGCTATAGACAACGCGCACTATACTACTTACCGATCATGAACAACGTGTTTACTTATTGCGATGAACGTTCGAATTGAACGCGAGACGATTCATCAGTAGTAGTTTTGTTGCAAATCAGGACGCCCAACCACAGTCTTCGAAATAGTGTCAAAAAAGGCGCTCTCATCAACCCAACTTGAAATGGCATTTGTTAAGCAGTAACGCGCTTTTTTGAACGCAAAACAGTGTAGGGAACCGAGAAAGGAGAGCAAAGCGAACGAATGTGGGCAGAGCGGTGCATCCACTCACACCGGAGAGACACAGAAAACAGCAGCACATCAATGCACGATGTAGCTTATCGTATGAAGGAACGTATTCAGCAATACGACCAGCACACTCTGTGTGTGTACAGATGACAACGTCCAGCTTTCATGTACCTATACATAAATCATTCTGTAGTTGAGAACAAGCAGAGTAGTGGATTAGAACACCAAAAAAATAAAGTATGCACCTTTTGCAGCCGTTCACTTACAGTAATCACAATCGACTAGAAATGCGGATAAATATGATAGCATAAACGCACGATTGAATACTTAAGGCAAATTACAGTATCAGTAGGACTGATTACATGGAATTTTTCATTACGATGCGAAACCGATAGCAAGAGTGTCATAAATGCCCTCTCCAATTCCGCTTTTGGTAAGTAATAGGTCAGCAAAAAATGGCAAAGCTGAGTAATCAGAAATGAAAAGAATATAAATCACATTGACCTTATCACCCTTATAGATGGAAAAATCCATTACTCAAGAAACCGCCACAATTAGAGAGTCATTATTAAGAAATAAGTGGAATTTTTTTTCCTCTGTGACGATAACGGCTGAACTTCAGAATTTACACATAAATTATAATATCCTTTATGAATATACTATTCGGAAACCGGTGCAATATAACCACAACTAACAAAGAACAAAGATCTTAAAGTATTTGTTCGTTTAATACTTAACAAATGCATACCGTCCTAAGACCCTATTTCACGAAATGCAAGTGAAAACTTGCGCACGGTGATTTCACATAGATCAACACTCACGCGACGGTACCTAATCTCAGGTTTATTACAGACTGGACGACGCTTAATTTTCAGCCTTTGTGGACTTTTTGGAAATAAACAATAATTTTGCGATAAATGGAGGACTTCTTGGGTTGTGAAAATAAATGAATTTTAGAAAAGACTTTGCTCTAACACTCCATGGGTATGAATGGAAAGCATCATGCCATTTACTGTATATTACTATCATCCATCACATAAGCACATTATTGCCAGCATTTGCAAGTGTTTTAAAACTTATAGGTCTCTATTTCAGTACTTTTTATAGTGGCACACTCTAAATGATAGCTATCATTCCCTATAGCAATTAGGGTTAAGAAAGACCTCGATTTGCACCCAAATTTCTGCCTAGTGAACTGGTTCGGAAAACAGTTTTTGTACATTTCGAAATGCAGAATAGGGCTTTTCCCGAGAAACGCCCAACAATACCTGTGTTCTACAAGCTATCAATTGACAACAAAAAGTGCAGAAAAATAGTTTAATGCGTTAAAATAAACTATTGGAAAGAAAATGAAACATGCTGATGTCATAAAGGCTACTCTCGCAAAAACATGACACCTATAGGTGTCAGACCAATGCATCGCACCTTTCGTTGTACTTGAAACCTAGGACAGCCCTTCAGCTACTGAACTTAATTCTAAGAAAAACTATATTATTTAGAACACTTCATTAAACTAACACTTTTGTGGCTTAATTATGTTAAAACAACCCTGAAATCCAACTATACCGAAGCTGACATTTAAACGATAACAAAGAAGAACGATGGGAAATCTGCTCCCACAATGTCCCACACTTCGTAAGAGGTACTGTAATGAAAACATTAAAACACTTTGATGAACATGCGTAATGTTAGACAACATACGAAGCTATTTCTAATAAAAATGCATCATAATCATTGCGCTCCTAGTGGAACACCTGGCAACAATTCAGAAGAGTCCATACTCCTTTGAACAGCTTTAGCAGTTCAAAACAGTACTAAAATCACTGCCACACTGAAATTAAGGCACTCAGTTTTGTGAACGCAACATAAGCATGTGTTGATAGAAAGTTTACCACAACATTTCGAACAAGATGCTCTTGCAGAATATTACAATGTTTCCCTTTAAATCTTCATTTGTTAGCGTCATATATTGTATACAAGAAATGAGAGGAACTTCGGAGACTTCTAAAAGAATCGCGGAAGGCTGGTTTTTCCACAAATGATGACAATTGCTAAAATCCTTATGTACTTGAGAAGTTGAGAACTTTGCTCTATCACCTTAATGGTATATATAGTTTACATAAAATGTCGTTGGAATTCTTCAAACTCTATGGATTCAAAACTTTGGAAAATTGAAAATGAAACTTTGTATGTTCTACTTTCTATTTTCTGCCTTATATAAACTTTAAGGCGAGGTATTAAGCGAAATACAACCACAAGAATGCTGAGATATTTGCAAAACTCCGGACCGTAGGTGTCTACGGTGAGGAACGAACGCGTTATTGTCCTTTCCGGAGAGTAACGCGTTCACCACCACACCATGCGGGTCCTTACTCTTACTCCCCGGAAAGCACAATAGCGCGTTCGTTCTCCACCGCAAACACCTGCGGTCCGAGTTTTGCAAATATCTCAACAATCTTGTGAAATTTTGAATTCGAAAACATCCAAGGCCAGTGCAACAGCTGCCAACGCCAACGACGATACATTGGAAGACGCGATCGCGTGCTGCTGGACGTCCCATTTGTTCGATTGTTCTAGTGTTCGAAATATGAGCCACGATGAAAAAGACAAAAAAAAACTCTTCCAATAGGCTCCAGGAAATCAAAATTTCACCTTGGCAGTAAAAATGAGAGCAAATAAGTAGAGGTGCACCTTTTCAGCAAACATCTGTGAAACCAATAGATTTTAATCTCAATTAATAAAGATCACAAATAGTTGAGATATCATAGCTCAAAGTTGAAATCGACTATTACATTCTCATCAAATGTATTGAAGTCAATACAGGAAGTTGAAAAGATGTTGAGTGTATTGATAGATAAAATACAACGAAGAAAAAAAATAGTAACTAAAGAAAATCTAGTGTACTATCTAACGTAATAGCACAAATGAAAATGAGATCGAAATTCAGGGCTTATGAGACTACCAGAAACCAGTGGACACATATTCAAGATCACTGCGATACCATGGCAAGTGTAGCACTTCCTACGGACTATTATTATTTGCAAGTACAACAGCTCAGATATATTCTTTCCTCCAATTTTACCAATAAATAAGCCTTTCATAGTAATAAGGAAGTTTTCGTCAGCATAACATAATAGGATTTCTTCACTATATGATGTGAGTTTGCATTAAATATTGGTTACGAATTCTGCTATCCAAGGCTTTTTCCGCTGCTGAGGTCGACAGAGAATTCAAATTCTACACAGCTGCAACGAAAAAAAATGATGCCATTAGCTACAGTAAGGACATGATGATTCTAATTACATAAAAAATAAGAAGCGCTTTCCCTGTGTCCTTCCTGAATTTCGGAGCCTATAGCTCCAGAGTGGTAGACAGTGTTGCAGGCTGATGAATTACATATGGAGAGAATTTATTTCATTACATTGAAGCCCATACAATTATGTAGAACGAAACAAAAAGATTAATGCTCCTTTACTAACATTCAGGTAGAACAGAGTTATAATTGCTTCCTGATTTCAACAAAGCATTCCTAACTCAGGTAAAAATTGCACTAGGCCACAAATTAGAATCTGATAATACTATGCTGGCTGTTATTCAGGCCAATGAAGGCATGTCGAAACTTCGGAATTTTGAGGATAAATTTCGGAATTCTATGAAGGGATTTAAGGACCGTACGATGTTATAGAAGCCTCTTTTGCAGATATAGCACACGAAGGATTCTCCAACCTGTAATCTGCCACGCTCTTCTAGGAAGTAGACCTACACAAGAGGTTGTTTCATAGCTATGCATGAAACTAAGAATAGGAAAGTGGATTATGAAACATTTTATTGCCCCTGCAATAAGGATTCTGTCACAAAACACGTTAAAAATGTGTAAGGTGAATGAATGTCGGGTCAATGTATTGTGCTAGCTATTCTAATACTGAGTGCTATAGGATGGATTGTCGACATGAAAACAAACCATCAATCGACAATCACTCAAGAACTGTCCTGTATAATACAAAGTCGAGTGAGGTTATTTCATGCGAACGGTGCTACACTCAAGAAGATTCAGTTCGATACAACTACGAAGACTCATAACGCGAGAAAGTACTACTGTGGACCATCGACACGGATCATCGGCTCTGATGAAGACGAAGATACCGAAACGTTATCCGAATAAAAGTTGTATAACAGACTCATAAGGTCGGGTGTAGTGCAAGAGGCGCCTTATAATAGACATAGGATTGCTCCCCGCGCCTCTGGATCACCAAGCCTTCCATCCCTCCAGCGTCGGCAAATTGGTACCAAACTTGTTTCAAAGGATAGCAGCACTAACTGAATAAATCCATAGGTCACTGCAACTCATTGTATAGGCCAACTATGCTTCAGTCACCTCTGACCATGCTTAACGAAGTTGAATGCATGGCGATCCCGCAGGGATTGATCAACGTCGATAGATTCATCCTTTTTCTTAAAAGATTTGTATAAAGCTGAATAATTCAAAGAAATACATTGATTACTCGGTTAAGTGAAAGTCGGTTCAGTAATGTACAAAATAAAGTGTTGATTCGCTCTGAAATCATCTGTTACTCATCTGTTCATAATCACATTTTAGCCTCGCAAAGCGTTGGTCATAGTCTCCGAAAAATGAAATTCTTCGGGATGAAATCAATGGAGATATGCTAAAAGTTCCAAAATTCTAAGAATCCCTGCGTGAATATATCACTCACAGCATTTTTTAAGAATAAAAGCAGCCATCACTATTAAAGCAAGTTCCTTACGATACGATTGACACAAAGACCGATTATATTCTTTTTAAACTAGGAATGAAAAGGTATCAATAGCAAATTAGTTATCTACTAGAACGACTTGTAATGAAAAACACAGATATCAGATCAGATCAAATATGAGAAATCTTTTGATAGAAATGAACCAAACATAAGATTCACGACCCGTGTACCGCCGTGGTTAAAAGTGCAATGCGATGCATACAGATGTTGGTTCCATACCATACCAAGACAGCCAAACTCCATGCATTCGGCATCGACAGATTGCTACTAAATTTCTCCGGGAAACACTCGCTGTGGGTCAAAATGACTGGTAAATTTGTGATAAGGAAATCTGGAAAAACTATATAATGGCCATTCCAGGAATTTTGGAAGAGTTAGTCCAACCACGCCCCAACGACATTCATGAAGAAAACAGGAATCCTCGAATGTCAGCAGAACCTCCATGGAAAACCCGAAAAAAGAAGTCCTGCGATCGGCACAATATGTAACGAGAAAGTAAACTCCAGGCCAGAAATTACATTAACCAACCAACTAAACATTTTTTGAACAGAACTTATCAGCATCGGTAGCGATATTATAGAAATTGGTAAAACCATTACTCGACATGCATGAGAAAAAATCACCGATCAAACGAAGTGGTCAATATACATCTTAGATTCTTCGTCTACAGCGCATATGTTTCCAATAAAAACCAAAAACTAAGGTGTGTAAGAACATCACAGTTACTTTCGAATCCGTAAAAAAAACCGCTAAATTACAAAAAGCACCTAAAACTGCGAGAATGCTTGCTCCATATGAAGCTGCTCACAATGACCCTTAAGGAATAAAAAAGACAGCTTTCTGCGTTGATCAATACCCATAGAAACACGAAATACACTCTACTTCATTAAGCACAAGAAGATATACTGCTATCCTCCCAGAATGATATAGTACTAAATATCCCACCCATGCATCAAGGGCCACGGGGTCGAACCAACATTTGCATAGTAGAGGACCACGAAACACTGCGCTACAAGCAAATATATACAGAGCACAACAGAAATGTACTTTGTAAAAAAGGCGCTCATCAAAATCCTGATTTCAAAGCTCGTTCGCATCTTCATTTAACCTATCACTTTTAGATGAGGAGCAGGGTAGCGAAGTGGTCCTGATACCACTCACCACGAGCACGATGCCGGTTCTAATCCACTCCGGGCTCACCAAGCCCTTCATCCTTCCAGAGTCGGGAAATTGCTGTTGGACTTGCCTAGTAGACCTCAATTCTGCGAAGTAAGTAGGAACGCTCTTGCTTGGCAAACCCAAAACTTTTAAGGTGAATCAACTCGACCAGCATTCAACAACATTAATAAGGAAGACAATCCTCAAGCACCAGCCGAATCCAAACGCTAAAAGCCTGAAGACTTCTGGGGATGATGGATTAGATGAAACGAATCGAATGCATCAAGAGCTGAGATAAGCAAAGTATGTATGAAAACAGGTCGTGTTAAGAAAATCAAAAATGTCACTTTCTCCTTCTCACTTATAAATTCTTCAATACAACTAAATGGTATTCATTATTCCATTCATTCCCGTATCCCATTTCGGATCTCAGCACTTCCCATGTTCGATTCGTTTCCTCGTACCCATCACCCAACAATTACGGGTTAAATTATTTAAACTCTGTGATATTCCATCGAAAACGACGACAATGTATGGAATACATCAGTCCATTACGAGATTGAAATGCACAAAAACAATTAGAAGACAGTTGGACAGAGTCTTATAGAAAATTCTCTACGGATTAAAGAAGCCCATACACCGTCTCTTTATTATGGCGAACCTACCAATTTGGAGAAGAACCCGTTTCTTTAATAAATAAAAATGATCAATCATATCAGGAGAAAGGATTAGATAGCTTTCCCTGTCTTTAAAACTACTCACCTACAATAATTAAATATTTCCCTGAAGAAACAACACATAGTTACTTCAAAAGAATTGAACAACTCTGGTATAACTTTGAAAGTCGAAAAGCTTCGAATGAGATCTTGCCGACGATCTGACACCATGTTGCTGATGTTATAAGAAAAACCTGGACCTTTGTGGGAAAACTTTGAAAGCGGTTAAAGTTGGTAAAATGCATAAAGCATTCGTAAAAATAACAATTACGCGTAGTTCTGAACTGAATTTTCACGAATGACGGTTTTAATCGGCTTTTGTATCAAGTGGTAAACAAAGAAAATGGCGTGCTCTCGCATTAATAACTCTACGATACTGTTTAAAAAAGTAATTCGAATCAATAAAAAGTTTTATAAACACAGAAAAACTACTTAGATAGCCTGAATTTTCTTATGATTTCAGAAAGCCCAGTGACAAATGAGAAACACATTGAAGCACTAATAACTCGCCTCAACAACAACAACAATTGAAGTTTTGTCATTCTCATATTAACTATCTTACCATGTTTATCATCTCATCTTCAAATCAATTCCTCATTTAACCAAAATCGCTCTTGCCTCACCATAATACTAAGATTTACACTGTATCGGTTGCTATCCTGTAACCGTACTACAAAATTTGAGTGCAAACAAGAGGAGATTCGTCGGAAAAGGTATGAATGTGATGAAGTAGACGTGACCTTCTGTACTTGTTGTTGAAGCAGTATATTGCGATTCCTTTCAAAACCTCTTGAAATAACTACCCGTATACTTAAGCCTTTTTTTTCTTTTCTCAAAGTAGTTCCTAGTGTAACAAAGCTAAAGCATAATAGTCGACAGTTCAGTATCATAATTCAGCATCATAAAAGCTTTAAAGGCAGCGGTGACGGTACTTGGAACAAAAAAAAGTCGGTGGAACTTCAGATGAAGGACTGACTATGACGGCTATAAAGAACGAAACTATCGCGTTAAACACACCGCATTCTTTAATATATTTATGATATTTAGACGAAGAATAGGAATAGAAGAAAAGCCAAGTACGCGAAAAATGGGTAATTCAAGAGTGATTCAACATAGTCATTAGAATATTACTTTCTATGAACAGAAAATATACCTCTCAGGACGGTTCCCCTTAATGTATATGGCTCTCGGGTAGACTTCCGCACCAGCATCGCCTGAATCTAGCCGAATGCCATCGTCGTCCTGTATTTGTGTCATCGGCTGATCAACCTGTTAATTAACAATAGCATAGCTTGCTTCTACCATTTCCACAGGAAACAATAAAAATTTACAGATTGACATAGGAAAGACTCCACCTGGGATAATTTTTCACCATTAACCTTTCATAAGAAACTTCTCAGACAAATTTTATTGTACACAAGTATATAAAAACACAACAAGAAAATTTTCAGAAACAAAAATGAGCAAAGAACGCCCACGTATCTTGAAAAGATAAGCTTAAATATGTTCGTAAACTGGACATGAAAACTCGTACGAAACAATCAGAGACTATCCAAGGCGTTTTATACACAGGGAAAAGTGTGATGAAAAGGGAAAATTGCTTTCAGTAACACCGAGAATACAGCTTACGAATATGGAATGCTGTTTGCAACATTGAACAGTAACGTAGAAGGAAACTGACGACATATGAAACAATTCTTAGACTACAATGAACTTAGAAAAAAACTCAACTGCTTAACTTATAATGCCGTGATTGCTATGAAAAACAGCAATCAAACAACAGCGTTTGTCGAAAAGAGATACAGGGGTTTGACTGTGACAAGAATAGGAAACAAGGAATTTTTGAAAACATGTTGAAGAAGATGTGAACCTTCGACGACTAAAATTAACAACATAAGCTGCTAAATTAGGTCTTATCTACGTTCGGCACACCATCTTCATTCTCATCACTGCTGCTTACTTTGTCGCCAAAGATAGACTGTTCAGAAATTGTATTATCCTAGAAAAAAAGAGAAAATAATCCTAAGATTAGCGATAACGTAAAGGAAGAGGAAGCAAAAATTTGGAAAGAAATAAACCTGGGTGGAAGATGGAACGCAAGGATGAGAGCTCATCGGCAGAGCAAACACCTTGCGCTTATCATCCGTTTGAACAATCTCCCAACGGAATGACTCTGCTTCGAGATCAGCACGAAGTAGTCGCTTAAGCTCACGCTCCACCTAGAACAAAGCGGATATATAGATAGAAAAGCAGTTTTGGTAACTCATTTTGCAGAAAAAAAGCATTAAATAAAAAAAAAAGAAAACAAACAACATGTTTGTCTGCACTGTATGCCAAGTCAAGTTTAAAATACAGAACAGAGGGAAGAACACATATGAAGGCAAAATCGCAGGACAAACGCCTTTTGTGAGTGAAATTCAAAAAAAAAAAAATAAAAAACAAGAAGGAAGTAATAAAAAGAAAAAAGATGGGTTAAGAATGAAAGATGCTGTGCATTTTAGGCGTAACAAATGAAAAAAAAATTTATAGAAGCACTGTTATAGTTTGACGAACTAATAACCTAGATAAAACATTCCAAGTTATTTATAAGGGAATATGGGCAAACTGGACCGCATTATATGACTAATGATCCATGACATTTAAGATTTTAAAAAAATTAAATAAAGAAGGATAAATAACATGAGAAGGACAAACCCAGTTTGAACTAAGCTACAGAAATAAAGCTCATGAAGACAGTTCTCGTAGTAAAAAAAAGAGTGCTAACCGCATGTTTTCTCCGCTACCCTAAACGTAAGCCTTAAAATAGGAGTTAATCTCAGGAGACACTACCAATGTGCGCACATTAGACAGAGTGCTATCATCGTTCTCCTACAAAACCTCTTAACTGTCGAATGTTTGTCAATTTGCAGCAAAGAATCTTATGCACCAAACCTACCTCTGGAGCTTCCATGTATTTCTTTTTCTTCGTCTTTCGAAAGCGTCGTTGGCGCACACTCTTCATAGGTGGCGTCAGACCATGTGGATATTGCCACAGTTTCATTTCCTAAATGGAAAAACTTCTTCGTAGCGAGCAAGAAAGTAAGAAATTAGCTTATTACTGCATATTCCAATTGTTATGCGAATTGCAAACAGATTATTCAAACATAGATATTTGCCAAAACAAATATGCACTTAAAAAAAACAAATGAAACCTTCTTGGTGCTGATCGTCTCTTTCGGTATTGCGCATAACTCGTGACTACAGACAACTACTTGGGACAAATCAGTGACTTTGTAGAATGACCTTTTGTCGAGTGTTTTCATCACCTAAACAATTAATAACCAATAATGAATTCCTTGCGATAGCACATCTCATGAAGCCCAAAATACGTAAATTCACTGACTTCTACGATACACGGCAGATCGTATATTTTTGCACTCATGATGTACGAACCAAGGCGAATGTTGGCGTGTCTCATATCCGTCGAGGTAAACTGAATCGCCAAATCGTCTCTTCCATAATTATCATCGAGCATCTTATTTATCTAAAAGAGAAAAAGATAGCAAAGTACAATCAAAGGACAAAACCGAAAACGTACTACCCTGAACGAACAAACGTAATATTGTGCACAATTTAACAATAAAAATCGCTGTAGGAGATATATTCATATGGCAATAGTCTCTAATATCGAATCCATTCAATGTAAGCGCGAATTTTCAGTCCCAACGATATTATGCAAATTTTATACTAGCCCATGACAGACATCCCCTCATTTGACCACAAATGGGAAAGTTACGTTAATTTTTCTAAAGTTTTCTGAATAATGAAGCGGTTTCTAAACACGAAGATTTAAACAAAACATCTCCATATTGTTAGCACGCAAAGTGAAAAACTTCGAGATTACAATGTTAACCGTTTATTTGCTGCCTACTATAAATTTCACGGCAACATATGATGTGAAACACAACCACTCAGATGCTGAGTGAGATATTCGCAAAACATGGACCACGGGCTTGATCGAACCCACAATTACCTTTTCGTTTGAAATTATCTCTGAGATTATTGCCCGCATGATATTTCTCAACAACTTTTGCTACTAAGAGACCAACAGCTTTCCATGCATCGCTTTGTGGTCCATTTTCCAACCATAATTAAACTTTGCAACCATTTACTTTTCTAACGTTATCGCTGTAAATGATGAGAGAATGACAGTGGCACTGTATTTTTGTAACGCTATCACTATAAACGATCACAGAACGATACTGGTACTGTCACATTGCACGTTCTCGAGAGAACACATCAACCTTTAAAACCAAGCACTACTTTATACTACCAGTATATTATTTTACATAAATTAAAGAAAGAAGAACTAAAAGGACAGACCAATCCAAAAATTCAGCTGCTCGTACCACACAAAGTGGAAAAATACTGTATGACACAGCGCGTTGTTGCTACCCATAGAAGGATAAGGGATAAATTGTTCGGTGATGATCCATCCTCGAGTGATGCTCCATGCATTCAACTTTATCAAGGATCGTTACAGACGAATGAATGCATAACTGGCCCATACACTGCCTAGTGATTTCCCAACGATGTATCGAGTCAGTGCTGCTATCCTCTCAGACCAGCCTGGCATTCACCTTGCCGACCCCGAAGGAATGGAAAGCTTGGTGGGCACTAGGCACGCCATCGAACCAATGGTTCCATGTGCATTGCACGGTACCGCGAACCGATGTGCTATACGCCACCATACAAAGACGTATCTGAATCATATAATAACGAACCTCCGAAAAGATGACTTTATGGTTAAATCGCTGCCATTAATCCAGAACGTTCGCTCGCCGTTTAGCGTAGCACTTCGAATGGAACTGTCAGCAACAACCGTCGTCCTTTTGATCGTCGAATGACTAGAGCAGGTTCCACTACATTTTCTATTTCTCCCTGTCACGTGCCGAGCTTCTGATCCAGTTCCTCATTTGCAAGACACAAGAGACTCCTAGAAACTTCCTTTCGACTACACGTTTAATAATCCTGAGGCATCTTTCATCCTGCTTACGTAGTGAGCAGGTTTTTGACGCATACATTAAGGCAAGATGAATCATGAAGTAGAAAAGTTGGGTATGAAGTCGAGTGTTCTTCGACCTCATCACTACATCTTCGATGCTCTTGAAAACTCCCCAAGCGGCTCGCTTCATCCTGCACAACTCTGCAACTATGTCGTCCATCACATTGATTTCCCAACTTCAATAGACGTTGCTGGGACATTCGGAGATATTCGTTTCGAGGAGCGTCAACAGAGCATATGAAAGTCTTGCGGTTGTGTGGGCGTGGTCCATCGTACAGAATCCTTCTCGAAAACATGCTTGCGCACATGGCTGTTCTTAGTCCAGTGTTCTGCCAATTCTTTTTAAGATAACTCGAATGAAGAGTTTATAGATGACAGATAGCAAGCAGATTGGGCGATAGTTGATGAAATTATGGAGGTCACACTTTTTGATCAGCAGCACGGTCCTGGTCGTTTTCCACTGACAAAAAACTCGCACTCAGACAGGCGCCAGTGTGTTTACGAAGACTGGTTTAAGGTTGATCAGGCGTTCGGATCTTATCCTGTCCAAAACTGGTGCTGTTGGACTTTTCACTGAAGAAATAGCGTGACGGATTTCGGAAGGGAGAAACAAATCCATCTTCGTTCATTTCATATGAGAGGAGGACGTGGCTATTGAAGAGATCTGAGTAGTAATCGTTAGTGATTTTCTCCATTGCTTTCTGGACGCTGTACGTGTTTCGTCTGGGCGTCGAAGTGCAATCGTCTTGGCTTCGCAATTAGCGAAGCTTCGGTGTACCTTGCGAATGCTTTTCCCAGCCTTTGCAGCTTCGACCATACTTACCGTTCTTCTCTCGCTAAATCTTTTACCATCTGTCTAGACTGTTTCACAAGATTGGACGTGAATTGGTGGTTGCTTTGGATTTAGCGGCTTCTTCTACTTTCCTCGAGAAATGAGATTTTGCAAGCAAAAGGCGATGTTCCGATTCTGTGTAGAATATTGTGAAAACAGCGATATTAGTTAAGCAAAACCTTAAATTTACTATGACGTGTTCAATTTCCTCATGGTACTCTCCAATGATAATGGCGAGTCAATCTAAATGGTCACAGTCTTTACGATAAGCTCAAACAGCCGCTCATTCTTTTCGTTTCATTATAATCCATAGGTCCCAATATGAATTCTGGCTCATGTTGCAGTGTTAAAATCTCCAATGACGACCTTAGATAACGTACGGTCTTCTCTTTAAAACTCCAAGTCTGTATAAAACGCTTCGATTTCGTCTTCGTCATAGATTGATGTCGGTGCGTAGACGACAAATTGTTAAAGCCGATCTTCTTCTTGCCTGCATGATCAAGTCCTCTATCCAGAACTCAGATGCAAGTGTGCGTGCATTGTAGGTACAGATGACCACTTTAGGCCTTTGCGATTTAGGCAGTCTAGAATGACGTTGAAATTTTAGCAGCGTCTCCGTACTCATCCTACCCAACGCTAACGTATCAGGGGAAAGAGGCGTACTTATCTTACTGGGCTTATTGTTTGATACCCACGTATAGCTTGCTGATCTTTCACCATGGGGCTGGATATACTCGCAGATAGCTTGTCAATCCCTCCTAAAATAGACTTGAAGCTTATTTGTTGGAGGCTTCTAACCTACTCCCATATACTTCAGCGTTATATTATTTCAGGCTTTTGGCCGAAATACTCGCAGAACAGAATCAGCATAAACGAGAACATACTCAAACACGCATGCATGAATATGTCTTCGAGAATACAGAAAGCATGTGTCAAATCGGCGCTGCAGAAACAGTACACCCACTGGATTCAGTTTCGTTTTAGTGAAGCACATTGTCACTTTTGTCCGCGATCAACCCCTTATTCTCTACTTCGAGACGCGCCAGGTTGCCTTGCGACTAACCGGCATGAAATTCTTCTATGAGAGAGATCTGAACGGAGTACGAGCAAATTTTCGTCGGCTGCTGAATTTCTACTTTTTTTTGATAATATAAGGTAACTCTGTCTATAACTAGAGCACTTTAGGGGTTGTGAACACGACAATATTGTAGAAAAGACTTTGCTGCATATTCTGCATGAATGAAATGATAATGATATGGTTATCATATGGTTCCAAATGATATCAAATGATATGGTTCCAGTATTTAGAAGCATTTTGCAGTTTATGTTGACTCTGTTCTGGTATTTTCACATCCACACATTCTATACTATGTCCATCGGGATTAAAATGAAGTAACAACAAATTGTTAGTCAAACTATCGGTGAATGAATGTTTTCGAAAAAAATTTAGCAAATCATTAAGTCTGGAAAATGGATTTTTTGTTCCTACCCGTCCTATTGTGCTCTGTTTTCGATACCAATGAATGTGGATACTATGGCAAAAAAATTTGAAATGCATTGAACTGATAATGGACACTATAGTGTCCAAACCATCCTCTTGTCCAAACGCGTGCGGACAGCAGTGTCCATACCGAGTAATATGGATTAAATTGACGGATGCAAGAAAGCCTCTTGTAATCTGACGTCTTACTTTGCGAGTAGTGAAAAATATGACGATCGAAAACAACTAGAACGGATAATTTCCAATTTTGAACAAACTGATGAAGTGGAATGCCGCTAAGAGGGCATGATAAGTTGTGCTCCAACTACTCCATTAACTAGGAGGAATCGCAATATCAAAGAAGATGAAGCTTAGGTAACTTCCACCACCGAAATTGGGCAGATAAATCCGATTCCGAAACAACTGATTTAGGTAGATGAACACTTCATTCTAGACCAAATTTGTGCTAACCAGCGGATTTAGGTTTCGAAAAACGGAAAGGAATAAACTCTAAAGATTACACGGTAGTGCCAAAAACAAAAGAGCACAGCAGATAGAAAATTACTTAAGAACGATTTTCCAGGCAGTTGAACTTATTCAAACAATTTAATACTAATATCTTTGTTATTATATTACTAACAGGGTATTATGACAGTAAAAAAAAAATGCTTTGAAAACCACATGCTGGGAAAATTGGAAATCAATCACTAATTACATGTCTCACCTCCGTTGCAATATCCTTTGGAACTCGAAGAATGAAATGATTCTCCCAATCTTGGACATCCTCCGTGACTTCACAAAACTGAACGGTTACTTCGTCACAATTTATATAGTGCAGGTTTAAATCAAGTGCGGAAAAATACAAATAACATACTGGATATTCGAAACATTTCCTAACTGTAATTTTAGCACTTCTTAACTTCCTGGAATAACTCACAACCAAGTTTCTTCTGCTAAGAAGATTGTTTGGTCTATCGCCTCAACGTGGGGAGCGAGTGTTCACGGGGAGTGGAAACAGTGACCAGCTGACGATACATTGTTTAGCAAGATGAACTAAGCTGAGGAGCTCGAAATTTCCATTCAGAAATAAAGTTTAAGGCGAACTTATACTACAGATGATTCCGGAGAGTTACTCGAGGATACCTTCTCGTTAAACGCAGTAACAACAAAAAGGTAGTAGTAGAAACGTAATGCTCTTCACGTCCACATGGGGGATAATGTGGAGCCAACTAGACAACTTAAATGGCAGTGAAGGAGAAGAACGGAAACCTTGTTGGTACCCGACCGATTTGACCAAGTTTTTAAAGGAATTGCAGGTATCAAAGGTGAAAAAGCCATCTCACAACTCAGCCTATTGCATCTTCCTGGGTTTCCCCGAAAGGATATTAGTCACATGGTAGGAAACCTCCCTGCGATCTAGAAACCTTTGCAAGTACGTGTTGTAAAGGTGTGATGATGACGTCAAAAACATCTATCTCGGAATTCGAAAGAAAACTACGACCGACCACTTTGTAGTTCAAATCTCTTAATGCGTAATCGAACTTACATCCGGATAGACCACCACTCTACAAGACAACGAAGCGAACGAAAGATGGTGTAAACTGTGATAGTACACATATGAGATTGCACAGCTACAAGTTTTAGAATAAACAAAATTTTCCATTAGAATACTACCAACCTTCTGTGGTACCCGCTTCGCGAGAATCCGAGATGATCCAGCTGACATCTCTCGACAACGACGACAACAGATTTGTAGGGATGATTCTATAAAAAACACTATTTTCATGAAATCAGTGGAAACTGAGAAACACAGTGACAGTGTACAAGCACACGACCTGTAAGACAAGACTTACATGAGAAAACTCAAACTTTTCAGTTTACTAGAAGGATACTATTACGTCAGAAAAAATTTTGTTTACAGTGATACATAACAAAATGTAAAATGATGGTAAAAACAAGATCTACCCCACAATCAATATCCATTTCCGTCAAGGATTACCACTCAACCGTTACGCACGAGAACAAAAAACAATTACTACTGTTACTACTACTAAATTATTCAGTATTACTACTATTACTAGTTACTATCCTCCTAACGGTTTACGGCCTCATGATGGCTGGGAGTGTTTTCCTGGATATCGGGCTGCGATGTAGAATGGAGAAATTGATCCCACCAGCAGTGTCACCGACGTTGAGGACTCCGGCGTTTCTATCAGCAAGCTAAACGAATACTAAGATCCACTACTGTCCTGGTATCAAACTAGTCGCATGGTGGCAAATCTCCCTCTGATCCACAAGGGCGGTGACTGCCTGTCATGGTGATGACCTGGTGCAGACTTTGGCTAAGCTGACCTCGGGACTCCAAGGAACCACAATAGCTAAACCAACAAAACTCCGAAACAACGGAAATTATGCTAGGGCCCGCACGACCAGTTAAGATTGGCCATCCTGGTGTAAACGTAAGTATTACTTACTATTACCTCACTTACTACCACTCATAAGTATGTGTGAGTCTCCTACGTCCACAGTGAATGAAATCGATATATTCTTCTGCGACAATGGTAAAGACTAACTAAGCAAAACAGAAACACTGCTAGTTCATATCGGAAAAAAAGTATCAACAAAAGTGAAGGGCACTTGTGCAAGAAAAAAAGAAACCATTTAAACGATCTACGTAATCCACTTGATGTCCACTCCCCTCTTAAGGGTCCACTGGCTCAGGATGACTGCTGGGTTCAAAACTAATGACTTTAACACTTTCATCCACAACCTCAGCTAAGAGTAAACTAGTACCAGTAATCACGCCCATCTTGATATCGGGCTTATTGCAAGACGGATGCCAAATCCTCACCAACACCCATGGTGGCTAGGGTGTGAAGCTTAGCAGGCACTACCTAGGTTACCGCCGAACTCCGAGAAAATCATATCTTATTGAACTTGCAAATTCGCATCCAACTGTGACCAGTGCTCGTGTCTATGTGAAGATAAGTAACTTCTAGTATCAAGTATACCACAATAAAAGTTAACCAGGTTTGTTACTAGCAGAAGGAAATCGTTTTAAGCACCAGGGTAACAGTACAGTGATACAAAATACAAGTAAAACTTGTCAGAGGTGCACGCCCATTGCGCGAAATGCTCGCGAAGCAGTGCGTCTCAGAATTCGCGCCAATGGATACCTGTTGACGCGAACTCGGGGTATCCAGTTCATATCCGCCTTACTTATCAGTTCACTTAAGTTCGTGAGCGGTTAGTTTCATTTGTGTCATAGTTTTAGTACTGTCTTGCTTATCCTTACCACTTTAGAAGTTTATAGTATTAAAGCGTTTGCTTAAGATTTGAAATTTTCTCGATTTTCTTCATTCGTGGTACCGTTTTGTTTCGCCGTCATTGCCAATGCATCTCTCCAAAAGATTGTTCAATCGTGTAGTATCAGCTCTTTAAACTGTAACGGATACTTTCCATTCGTTTTTTCCTAGTTACTAGTACGTCGATATACCTTAGTAGTGTCGAGATTTTCGATTTACAAGTAGAGGAGGGGCTTGCATTATATAAGTGTTGTGGTTTCACTTAGCATCCCTTAGCCTTATCGTTCTCATTGCTTGTTCTATGGATAAGGACAGCAGTTTCTGTCATGATTGAAATTTTCTCATCTTCATCCTAGATGATGATCGTTTTTACTGCGTATTTTTCTTTTCTCATCTATTTTGTCTTTTGCTGTCTACCTGTTCTTTGTACTGATTTTTCAGGATCTAGATCGTGGCTGCAGTTCAGGATTAGATGATGACTTCGGACGACGAGGTGCTCAGTAAAGTAACAAAGTATGGAAAGTTAATCAAAAGGAAAGAAAAGGTTGGTACCGTTTTTCACAACATGCATCCTTTTAGGTTGGTAATGAGACCTTCGTTTCAGATTTCTCATGCGTTGAGGAAGCTGAGCAATGTGGAGATGACTCTAGATATCCTATCGGCAACGAATATTGGCCGTTGTGTAAACAAGTTTGTTAAATTATCCAGTCTTCTAGTCCAGATTTCATTTCTGCTAAGATTGTTGCCAGTAGGAATTGATAACTTTCCACCGATTACACCATAATTTTTAAGAATTGACGATGTTCCAGGTTGTGTGATGATCCAGTTCATGGCCGTGAAGCTTTTCGAATCATTGAGAAATGGAAAGAAATTGCACGCCGAGGTGGAGCTCGTGGCGGCGAAGACGACCGTGTCGCAGAAGGCGGTAATCTGCAAGCATGTGAGCAGTTGTCGTCAACTAGGGATGGATTGTCACGTGGAGTACGAGTAAAACCGATGTGTTATGACGAGGTTAAGTACGAAACATATGAGAGGGATACGTATAACAGTAGTGATGCAGATGCTCATGTTAACAAAGGAGATCAGGTGGTTCGTCGAAGAAGTTACCACGGTGAAAATAAGACAGGTGCATGTGAGTCTAGTGACACAGACTCCGAAGGCTATCGACGTCGTCGTGATAACAAAGATTACCAGAGCAGACACCGTAATGAAAATAGTAGACGCAATCATGAAGACTATTACCGAAATAGCGATGAACATAAGTATGATCGTAAACAGAAGAACAGGGAGGTGGACTCACATTATAGTGAGAACAGTAGACGCAATCATGAAGACCGTTGCCGACATCGCGATAGAGATAAGTACGATCGAGAACAGAAGAACAGAGAGGCTGGCTCACGTCGTGGGGAAGATAGTAGGCGCAGTTATGAAGACCACTACCGACATCGCGATAAGAATAAGTATGATCGAAAGGAGAAGAGCAGAGATGCTGATCCACATCGTAGGGAAGACAGTAGGAGCAGTTATGAAGACCACTACCGACATCATGGTAAAGATAAGTACGATCAAAAACAGGAAACAATAGAAGCGGATTCAAGTGCAGAGTCAAGGAATGGTTATGACAGTTCATCTGGTCTGGAATGGGATGAGCAGGCTGACGATGACCATCCTGACAAAGAGCTTGAAAGTGCCAGTGAAGAATATGGTTTAGAGCCAGCTCTAGACAAAGTTGAGAGGGAGCACCTTGACAGCTACATGGACGAAAGGAATGATTCCGCTTCTGTTGAAAGGTTTGTTAGTCTACTTTGCTGTATGCTCGGCGTTTAAGCTTCAAAAATTTCTCGATGTTGTCATGTCCTTGGATGGGTTTTTCCATAACAGTTTATTTCATGTGGGTATTCGATGTTTATATGCTTATGCGTTACCTAATAGACCATTGGTGAAGTGATGACACATTTCGCGACCTAACTTTTGGCTTTTATAATTCATTCAGAAATCATTAATTTTATACAAAAAGAAGGTACTGTTTCTCACTTTCTCGGATGGAGCAATTAACTCTTCATTCCTGTTTGGCATCCTGCCATTCTCCGAGAACTCTATGCACTATTCAATTCGCCTTAATTATTGATTTGATTTTTACCTAGTAAGATGATTTGATGTTAAAAACTGGAAGGGGATCGAGACCAATTGTGATAAGAAAGATAAGTTTGCCATGATTTCTTAACCAAGTCGATCTCATTCCGAATCAGTCTTCGTTAAATATCTTGGTGGGCGTTGTCTTGCTGCAGTGCATGACACTTACGATAAATCGCTGCTGGCTATCTTTTTTGACTTCGTGTTCATTTAGTTGGTTGCATTAGGAAATGCTCAGCTTTTCGAGAGAACAATAGTGCAGCACTCCTTCTGTAAGCAGTAATTAGATAGTAATCATTGCCATCGTTTCCTTGATAAATAGCAATCAGGTTTTTATGATAATATCTACTTCATGCTGCCTAAAATTTCGTTGATTTTGTCTTCTTTAGAACCTGGAAAAGTCAAATTGTTACGCATCCTCTGCCAAATACTTTCATAAATGCAACAGTCGAAGGAATCTATCATTGTTAGGTTAAAGAATAAGTGAGAAATATCGTGTGAGGTCAAGCATGATTACAAGGCATTCCATGCTGTGGTTCATTCCTGGATTTTTGGAATTTGTTCAGAATGCCTTGAGAGTTTTCCATATTAATTGTTTAGATTTCAGTGGGAAGATGGTAATTTCTGTTCTAAAGTCTCCGTTATATCTCTGCGTCGCCTTATTTTCACCAGACCTATCATTTGGGGGCGTGGCTCTTTCCGTAAACTAATCATTGTTTCCTTCCAAATAATTATTGTATACCCACCGACTTGGTTGGTGTCAAGCTAGTCGCGTGGTGGCACTTATCCACAAGGGCTGCGACAGCTTGTGGTGGTGATGACCTCGGGCAGGCTTTGGCCAGGCTGATCTCGGGACTCCAGGGAACCACGATATCTAAAGCAGCAAAACTCCGAAATAGTGGAAATTATGCTGGGGCCCGGTCAACCAGTGAAGGCGGGCCATCCACGTAAGTAATTATTGTGTTCCTGGCATGCACTGTTCATTTTGTGACAGTTTCTACAATTTACAAGCCTCTGAGAACATTGTGCTGAAACTATATATTGTCTAAAAAATCCAATTTTCATCGAACAGCAAAATTCAGTCAGGAAACTGGTCGATGGATTTTGTTCTAAAGCAACGATTTACGGTGTCAATTCACACTAAGTATGTGGTTGTTTAAAGGCTCGTACATTGAGTATTTGTCTGTTCTTTGGAGTTTCCCGGAAGTTAAGTATAAGGGAAACCATTGTATTCAAAATATCCACCTCTCTTCAGAGCTATTTTTCTCGAAAGTTTATCGTCTATCGTAAAGCTTGTCCCTTATATCAAGCAGCTAATATCCAACTGGAAATTCACGGAACCATCTCTGCTCTTTCTATTCGACTGGTGTTCCAATTTCCCAATGTCTACTTATATTTATGGCCAGTTCTGTTGTTTTACAGCATAGTTTGGTATCAAAGAAAAGCAACCTCTTATAAACGAATTTGTTAACGACGTTAGGAAAGACATATGCTTGAAAATAGGTCTAACTCCAACTACAAATTATGGAACTGTCCAATTTTCACAGAACTCATATGGTTAGCGAAATATTCTGGAATTTTCAAAATGGTATATTGCTGTGCCGGTGTGGTGAACGAGAATCAATTTTCTTTGTCTTATATATCACTGCATCTGTCTATTGAGACTTTTTTGAAAGTTTCTTAAACTTGAATCAGGTGTCGTTGATTTAAGGATGCGCAATCTGCAATTCCTAGGTTGCTCTCAAAAGTTCTCACTAAGTTTACATGAAATACGAGTTGAAATGGTCTGTTTCGTAGCAAATAAAACTTTTTTTATGAATACCCAATAACTGCTCGAATAAGTAGAAATGGAGTTTAGTCATATCATAGAAATACAGAATTCATACTCTCTTTGAAGATCTTCGTTACATCTACGTGTTATTCAGTATTCTGTAGTTAGAGTTACTATACCTACGATTACCTCCTGATGAGAACGCCGGAGTAATTGTTAATATTTTTTTCCTCGTTATTTGCATGAAATTCCTTTCCATTATTACGGAATAAAATTTAGACAATGACAATCTGAGGGGTGTGCGTCATTGTAGAGATTTGGTTCATGGAGAAGTGCAGAAGCCTATCGTCTTCGATCTATGAATTCTCGTTCCAGACAGTCTTCATCGCGAATTGGCAATAAGAGAAGACGCTCACCCGAAAATGAGGTTCACTTATCACCAGATGCGAAGTCGCGGTCAAAAACAACATTTTTGTCAACTCCATGCTCAAATTCTCCAACAAAGCCTGTTGATAGCTCACTGCTTCCTAGCTCAACCTCAAAGGTAAAGGAGAGATGTAATGTGCTGAGTAATTACTTGAATTTTACCTTCGATTCACCAGTATTGCCTATATAATTAAATGTTGCTAACAGAAAGTCGTCCCGGACTTTGATTCGATGCTCCTCAGCGGCGACTCTTCTCCAACAAAGAGTCGTAAACCTCGTGAAGCCCATTGGAAATGGGCCGAACCGCCTACTGTGAGTTTTTAATTAACGATTTCTCACATGATTTGGTAAGTTTTTAATGAAAGGATGCTTTGTCCATTATTCAAATAACAGGTCTACCTCTTATTCCTTAAACTTTTTTCTTTATGAAGGATTCATATGTGCCTAGTATTTCTAAATATTTCGAAGGAGTAAGGTGTCATTGAGTAGAATTATTGCAGTTGAATAACTATCAACCATTCCCACAGTCAGCGCGAGCAACCAAGGAGCTCACGCATACTCCAGGTGTGTCTCGACCTTTATGAAATGGTTTTTGTTAGTTCCATCGCCGTAATGGTTTAGCAGCAGATAATTTTGACTTCGAACATATGTTCAAACCTCGCAATGAGCGTGGAAAAGTATTTGCTGGTCGCCGAAGAATTGTCTCTAAAGAAGTGACGCCACTATTCAATCTATGCCTTCGTGTACTAATGAATAATACTCGAGGTGAGTTTTCCCTTTAACCTAGTAAGGATGACTTTATGCTGCCAAATACTTTCATTTTGCAGTTCTGTTCTATGCGGAGTTCATAAATTTTGATGTGGTAAAGCCGATTTTGGAGAAATGCACACCTGACGAACTTGCACACATTGAAAGAAAGCATCGTGTGAGTATTTTTATGTTTGTGAATTAGTTTTCAACAGAGCGACGCGCAAATTCCGTTGGATTATCGTTAACTGTCGTCATTTTTTATTTTCTTTTCCGGTTTTTCATTAGTACATCGTTATATCTTTCGATATGGAACGCCGGTGATGAAGATGTTAGAATGAAAACTAAGCGCTTTCAGTGTCTTCCTCGAAGTGTTCTGAACTTATTGACTTCTAAAGTTTGCTTTCATGTTGTTGACAAATGGAAAATTCTTTTGGTTTTTATGGAGAAGTCTTATTTGAATTTCTCCAATAGACAGGGTACTTTTGGTTTTCCCTCTCATTTTGATCGTAGCACGATTTACTTGGATGTTTGGATAACCAGTTGTCAGTGGTTGTGCGAACCCCAGCATAATTTCCATATTTGCTGGTTTAGCTATTGTGGCTTCTTGGGCTTCTGAGGTCAGCCTACCCGAAGCCTTTCCCAAGTAATCTGGCGTTGAAGTCTCCAACAACGAGTTTTCAGAAACACTTCTAGTCGTGGATTAGTTTCACCAAACGCTTGTACAAAACATCCGTTTCGCGTTCATCAGCTGTGCAAGTTAGTGAGCTATAAATAGTTGGTGAAATTAACTTCTAACGCGCACGTTGAGAACTTAGAATAGCCAAATGCGGTAATAATATTTCGTATGAGGTTACTAGATGGCAAATAGATGGGCATATGACAAAACCAACTTCTCCGATATTTCATAAGGGACATTTCACGGATGACAATGGTTCACTCATCTAGTTGGCGTATGTCGGTCTTCCTACTTTTCTTCTCTTGTAAGGCGAGCTGCGCCCAGTTTGCAGGGTACGGAGGTTGGAATTTTTCTAGTTTACTCTTTGTGTTTCCCTGGAGTCCCGATGTCAGCCCAACTAAAGCCTTTCTTAGGCCATCAACACCCCAAACAGTCGCCGCCTTGTGGATTAGAAAGAAATTTGCCTCCATGCGAAAAGTTTGACACCAGTACGGTGATGATTCCTACTATTGGTTTAATCTTCCAGTTCTAGGCTGAACTGGTTTAATCTGGTTTAATCTAGCTAAGCTTCCGAATGGAAACATCGGATTGCTCAGCTTATGAGGCCCTGCTGGTAGGATGGACCACAGCTGTACACCTCAACCTGACACCCAGAGAAACCGCTGAACCACATTGAGGCGGTAAACCGTGGGAAGGGATCGTAACATGTTATTTCGAAGCCTGAAAACGCAAAATTTTTCAGTGAAAATTGTGGTATTGACTTGATCCGTATGCTTTCATTGTTTCATTACCTTAGTTTTTAAGTTTATCCATAGATGATTCACCTGATTTTTTAGAAAAGTGTCAAACGACTAAGGTATTACTCTGTTTAGTATCTCGAAGAGGACACTGGGGAGTTATGGAAGCGTTTCGTTTCAAAAAAGTATCCAGGAGAGGAACTAAGATATCATAATTTGTGGAAAGAACTGTATTATTTCCTGGAGAAGGAGAAAGAGGAGAAATTGAAGCAGGTCACTTTGCGCATCGGGAAAATGCACAATTCCGATTCAATGAAAAGAAACCGCACGGTATGTGTTAGTATAGCAATTTTTATTTAAGAAAAAAAAAAGTTGGTCACTATGTGATTTTTGAACGATGTGCTATCAATGGCAGGCGATACTAGCTGATGCTACCGCTCCTACTTTCGTGAAACGTCGTCAAATCCGGCATGGAACTACCAATGTGCCCACGACTCTTCCTAGTGCTCTAGAACTATCGAGCGCTCGTAGAAAGATTTTCGAGACCGGGGGTACTGTTGCAAATTTCGTGTAGTTTTCTTTTTTCTTTTTCGTTTTTTATTCTGACTTAAAGTTTCCTTTTAGGCTCGAAGGACGCTCTTGCTGCTCTTCCTGCTGTTATGGTTAAGCCAAACTCGGCATCTGTTTGCAAGACAGAGAACAAGAAAGCACCGAGTAAGAAGGGTGCACTTATGATTAAGACAATGAGGATGTTGAAAATTAAGCGCAAATAAAATTATGATGTGGCGAATACCATTTGCAGAGGTGCTTTAAAGGAAAGGAGGCCTTAATTCCTCTCCTTGTACATGTGGATGTACTGTCTCTGTTACATTTATTGTATTGGGAATATACTTACAGGTCTAGAAATAAGTTGCGGTAGTTGCATCCAAAAATTTTCGCTTCCAAAACTTTCCGTTTCGAAACTTATATAACCGATAGCTTTCGTCAATTTTATGTTTTATTATCATTCTATTATAAGTCGGTTACTCATTTGTTCTTGCTCAAGTCTAATTCTAGGCAAATCCACTCATGGGTTCTCTTTCAGCACTTCTAGTTCTGATAACATTGTAATTTATTCTTAGTCTATGGTAGTACTAGACGTAGTACTCGTTTAATTCTACTTGTATAATATTCATAACCTGGATTATCACTAAATGTTGCAGTGTAAGGGTCTCTTTCTTTTTCAGTGTTACGGGAACAGTAGACAAAGTGGGCGCGACAATGTACCCCCTACTATAACATGTGATAATACACCCATGTGATATTTCTTACTATGCTATCTAGTCATAAGTGCTGTACTAAGAACTCCATTTTAGTGAATACGTATTCATCTACCTTGTCTTTCGGTTAGGCAAGCCTATAATATGACTTGATGTAATAAAGTAGGTAATTCATCAATAATAAAGGAGTAAAGTCTTTAGTGTTTGTTCCCAAACAAGGATAAAATGAGTAAATCAGAATCAAGAACATGTATGGGACAAATGGTAGAATTTCCACTGATTATCGATCTCAATGGTTAGCTAAGGCACATTTGTGTGCTATTTAGTTATGGCCATAGCGAGGCACTTAGCATAGTTCTGCCCCATGCTATAAATTGCGTACCAAAGTGGATTTGTGTTTGAGCGTGGGTGGGAGATGTATCTGGGTACCGATTTACGACGTAAATTACAAAAACAGAAGAAGAATTAGACATTCCCATCCAAAATCCTGGTTAGAAGGAAGCCAGTCTCACTAATTGATGCCATACAGGTAGAAACGGTCACCATGCTACAGACGTTCGCTCTAGGCGCTCAGTCTACGGTTCCGATTAGGGGTCATTTTAACATTGGTGCCAGAAAAAATTCAAAAACAAGTTTGAACATCTCTTAATAACTCAAAAGACCGACTTTCTATAAACCTCGGCATAGATAGCTGATATATTTACTTATATGATCTTATAAACTGATCTTCTTTTGCTGATGCGAGGTTGGTATAGGTCTTCGTTGTCGTTGTTCTTGTTGTTGCTGCTGTTCTTGTTAGTGGGATGGCTGGCGTTTCGGCGATTTCGCCTTCCTCAGGGCCTTCATGTTAAGAGTGGGACTCTATCGTTAAATCTGGTATCCACTTTAATGTGATATTTCTCAACGTATTCATGCAGCTCTTCTGTCCCAAGCACTTTTGCAATACCGACAAGCTGGCCATAATTATCATGGCCATGGGAGAAGAGTTCTTTGCGGAAGATCATACTAGCAAGCATGCATGCTGGACTCCACATATCTAGCGAGTAGTCATAGCTCTGATAATCCACTAAGAGTTCGGGACCCTTAAAGTGGCAACATGCAATTCGAATATTGTAGTTTTGCTTTGGATGATAAAATTCAGCCAATCCTCAGTCGATCAAGCGTAACTTTTCTCATGGTCGGTCATGACGTCATTCGGCTTCACATCTCTATGCATTATTCCTTGAGAGTGACAGTAATCCAGTGCCTTGAGCAGTTCATACAGATAGTAACGAATATCTAAATCACTTAGGGTTCCGTACAACTGCTTGAAGTCCGAATTTTTGACGTATTTCACTCTCACTTATAGTCGAGTCCCACTCGTAACATCACGGCTCTGAGGAAGGCGAAATCGCCGAAACGTCACCCATCCACCAATAACACCAACAACAACGACAACGACAACAAAGACCTATACCAACATTTCATCAGCTAAAAAAGATCAGTTTATAACATCACATAAATAGATATAAAAACAAGTTGCTCAACAATCACTACATCAAACTGAGTTTACTGCAAAAACCCTAACAAGGCTGCCAGCAAATGAAAAACAAAAACAAGTTGCCAACAATCAGTATATTGAACTAGGTTTATTGCAAATTAAGCGCTTTGCCTAAGGCACCGGATGGTGTGAGAAGCAATCAGTTCATGGATTTTACATACATCATGCCGGCTAGTCCAGAAGAACACGTCCATAACGTATAAAGGCGATTGTTCCGCACATCCATTGCATCCAAGTCTTTTTGAGGTATAACTCTTATATTACCCGATAAAAAACGACAAGTTATTTTTTACGAGGTCACCTTTGACAGGGACAAGTTTCCAAACATGATGTCATAACAAAGATACTGTAGAGCCTTATGCTGATTTTGAAAGAAATCCGAAGCTGCTTTAAATGCACTTCGGCTCTCAAATCAAAATGTCCGTATCACATTTCCATAGCCTTCCTTGATCAAGATAAGAAACTTTGTTATTGATTTACTAATGACAGGAAGGAGCACTGGGTCTGCAGATCTTGGAAGTAGCATCAGTTTCGGTTGAGCAGAAGATGTGGTTGCTTACACGTACTTTTCTCGACACAGAAATAGTGACTCAAAGGATCCGAAAAGAGTCTTCCGCGTTGGTAAATTCAATTCGCAGATCCTTGAAATATACAAAGGGTAGCAGCTGTATTTCTAGTTTTGTTGATTTTATTCCCACCTTTTTCAAGGGGTCGTGTAGCGCTGTGGTAAGTGCCCTGCAATACACATAGCCGCAAGCTTACCAAGCCAGCCATCCGTCAGGGGTCGGAAAATTGGTACCAGACTTGTCTGGGAGAATAGCAACACTGACTTGATAAATCAGTAGGCCACCGCGAGTCATTGTATAGGCTAGGTATGCACACAATTACATCTAAAAATGTGTAGTGAAGTCAAATGCATGATGCTATGTTAAGCGCGTCAAAGGGAAACTCCAATTCATAGTTTTGTATAGCCGGAGATATTGTCTTAGTAAATATTACCGGAAAATTATACAATGCAAAAGAGCTCGATCATATGAGAAAGAGGATTCTCATCCGCTACAGATAAATCCGAGGTGGATGCAGTGTCTAAAAAACACTTGGACCTTAAAAAACCCAGAACAGCTTATTCTCACGCTGGTCTTTAAGCTCTCGTAAAGATCGCGGATCAAATCATATTTCACGAGATTGCTCTACAAGGAAACAACGGCGAGGTGAATTTAATCGAGGAGACCCTCATTATCTTTCGGCTGAATAACCACTATCAAATGCTGCCTGCATAAACCTTGTACATCCACCAACTAGCCATCACATGTGTTTTTTCGATAAGATTCCTTCGTCCTTTACCATCACACCATACCCTGGATTTAATCAGCCTGAAATGAAGAGCAGTATCACCACCTGATAATTGTTAAGGTATGCAGCTAATGAATGTAATAGACATTTCTATCATTAGCTCGGGAAGATGAATCGCAATGAAAAGATCATCTCCAAATTTAATCTCGGATGTTTACGGAGGAATATAAACGGCCAATAGAAATGGGCAAAGAAATTGGGAATTTGAGTTAGGAGACCTAGAGAAGAATGAAAAGGGGTTTGTTGAGTCTTTCAATGTAACACTCATCTTTTAAAGAAACCTTTCCTTCAAGGAGAAGAAATTGTCAGTGGGCAAAGAAGTTGCTTCCCGGAGAGACGTACATGGGAGTCCTTTACACCGCTCTAAGCGGAAATGATAAGTATTTGAAGACTTCATGATGGACTCTTTCAACGGCAGCTCCAAACACACTGTCTTCTGCATCCGAATATTTTGCTCGGGCAGTTCAAGGAAATGAAATCCTAATCTACCACTTCCATTCAGAAATTTTCATGGTTGACTTCATTTGGCCTTCCCAAATCTCAGGCAGTCACTGTTTCTTGGAAATCGGACCCTCCTCCCTCTTATACTTCATTGAACTTCTTCAAGCAATCTATGCCTTTTCTTACTCGGTTCAGATGCCAAAACGTTTGTCACACATTATACTCCAAATAAAAATGAGTGAAAACTAATTCAATGATTTTTCGTGGTCGGAATCACACATTCCAATTGTGTAATGTAGTTGAACGAAGACCGAAGCGCAAAATAACAAATGTTTGCCTTTGTTCGGCTTTTTGTCGAGTTCAAAACTAGCTGTAACATTAGCAGAGCGAGTGCTTCATCTCAGCAGAAAAATAAGACTTGATTTGTTAGGGTTTAACCCCGACGATAGCTGGCATTTTTAGTTACATCTCTCCTGCCTTTGAAACATTATGAAAATTGCTTCGGTGTTATTTGTTTTATTATTCCAGCATTATATTCCATTCCAATATATTCCATTACCAACTTATTCATTCTAACGGCGAAGAAAAAAAAAACTATTCTTCGTGATAATTCCCTTACTTAGCGTGTTCACATATTTGCAAGGAAAAGTGTGCACGAGTCCTGCATGTTACACGGGTTACGATAATGACGCTGGAAACATTTATCATCTCTTTGCGCCATAACTGTGATCTTACTATACATTGTAAGACGAGAACATCTTTACAAAAGTTGCTAGTGGAAATTAGGCCTCCGAATCAGTTTTTCGCACCAAATAGTCACTGCGTAAAATTAGAATGTTCGATTTTGGAGGAAGTTTCTACGTGGGACAATTTCGACGTTGTCACAGTGCAATATCTCAGGCGTGGATTACTAAACCTTTAATAATAATAATAACAGTAATAATAATAACACATGAATAACGATGCGCACCATCGAACCGCTAAGCAGTCACATAGTAACAACGCCAATAGTTGATACCTAATGCTTGAACAGCCTGTCCTCACTGGTTGTGTGGGGCCTATCAGAATCTCCATTTTTCGGAGATTTGCTGGTTAGGTCATTGTGGTTTCCTGGAATCTCGAGGTTAACCTGGCCAAAGTCTGACCCAGATCTTCACCACCACAGGCAGTCGCAGTCCTT